CTTCCAACACGAAGCTGTGTAGTGAGTGGGTAAGATGTCCGCTGGGATAGTGATGGCTGAGCAGCTACAGGGTCAAGGAATAGGACACAAGAGACCACAGTTTCCTCCTCTGCCCAGACTTGGGATACTCTTGAATCTCTGCCTTCCCCTTCCCCAGACAGCCTGTTAGCCCTCAGAAGTGTCTAGGACATCTCTAGCCCAGAGTTGACTGAGCATCTAGTGACCTGCCTACTTCTAACCTTGCTGTATGCAGCCGGCTGCCAGCCATCAGCAGGCAGGCACCGGGCACCGATCAGTAGTGAGCTCCCAGCTGTCTTGCAAGGGCATTCTGCACCTTCTGCTCCCCAGTTTCCTGACCCGAGACAGCAATTCTTGATGTCTCCCCCATGAAAAAGATACTGTAGTGCCTCTGACCTGGCCTGTGCGACACCTTTGAGGGACCATCATAGCGGGGACCAAAACAGATGCTCTGCAGTGAGTGAAGCGCCACCCTTCTGTGTCTGATCTTGTCCGTCCACGTCACTACCATTGCTTGGATAGGCTTCTCTCAGGGACTCCATCCAGACAGTCTATGTGGGGCCCAAAGGCTGCAGGAGTCTCTGTGGGTAGGCTGGAGTCACAGGATGTTTCCTCATAGCTCCTGAGGTAGCTTCAGCACTCTCCATCATTATGATTTCAGGTCCTGAATGTTCTTTTTTTTTTTGGTTTTTTTGTTTGTTTGTTTGTTTTCTCCTGAAAATGCTAAGGCAGTACCCAGGCCAGGAGAAGGACATTGTGGGTCTGGATGAGATTGGACCGAAGGCTCTTTGAGAGGTGCTTTTGTCTTAAAAATACCTCATGAACCTCAATTCTTAAGTTCATGTCTAAGGAACCTGGCAGATCTGCGGTGCAATAAGTGCCCAATTAGAGGCATATCCCTGTGATCCTGGGTAGGCGTAGAATCAGCGCGGAGGAGGGATTTTTCTTCCTTAGGCTGACTTACATTGAAATTACTAGGTTGAATTCTATGAAATCATCTGTATTGCTTATATCTATGACAATTTTCATATGATCCAACCCAATATATTTTTCATCCTTCTCATATTTTTTTTTTGTTAGCTCCTGTCCCCTGATAATTAAGGATGAGGGAATTCCTGACTCTTTCCTACAATGTGCTCTGCTCTCAGTATTACCAGTTTTGATGAATGACACCCCTATCTACCCATCGTGTCTACTCAGACCAGATACCCCTGTGGTGGTGGTCTTGGCCTTCCTTCAACCAAGGACACAATGCCCTGTCTATTCTAGGGCTGGATGCTTGTTGGATACATCTGCTTTTCCCACCACTGCTCTACATCTATTCGAGTCTGTGGTCACTTCCTGCCAGGATCACTGCGGGGGCTTTGTCTTCAGGCTTTTATTTCACTCCATTCTTCACACAGGGCCAGCCAGGTCTTTTCAAAATGCAAGTCGGATCATGTCACTTCCTTCCTTAAAGCTCTTCAGTGGCCTCCTTTTACCTTTGTAATTAAATTTTAAATCTTACCGTGTCTTACCAGACCCTGCCTGACCTGGCCTCTGCAACAGGCTCCTTCCAAGGCCGCTCTTGCTCATTACCCACTGGCCACAGGGACCTTCCTTTAGAGTCTAAAGTTTAGACGCTCACACACATCAAAATCCTTCCGGAAGGCTCTCCATACCTGCCGATTTCTGAGCTTGCGGGCCTTCTCGACTCTGCTTTATTACCGACTCCCACTCTTTCTGCTGGCTGTGGCTTAAACGTCCCTTTCTCAGAGGGGCGTTTTGGGAGCTGCCTTCCTGCCAGCCATATTTTGCTCCCTCGTGCTTTTCTTACTTTCGGATCTCAGTTATTTTCTTCTGAAGAGACTTGGTACAATTTTAATCACCCATTTGCGCTGACTCGCCCCGTGCCTGTCTCTGCCCGGTGGACTGCTGCTTCCTGAGCGCAGTGAGAGGCAGAGGCAGGTTTGTCTCCTTGGCAGCCGCCTTCCCAGGGTTCCTTGCTTGTAGCAGGCACTCCTTAAAGGCGTGCTCAGAGAATGGTTCCTGAAGATAGAAGCGCGGTGGGCTGGGACATCGGAGTCTGTCCTGCCGAGTTCGAACTCACAGCCTTCTGTTGTGCATCTTTAGGAGCCATAGGCAAGCTGGAGTTTCGCCTAGAGTTATGGAGAGTGACTAGGAATTATGACAGGAAAAAAGCCCAAGGGGAGGGGTCCTCCTATTTAAGCCCACTCTTTTTTCTTTTTTTTTTTTTTTTTAAAGAAATGGAGACCATTTATTTGTTTTCAAAAAGGCAGTAGTGGCCAAAAATATCCTTACAGTCCTTAAAGTGTTTTTGTTTTTATTTTACACACCACCCACAGTTCCCCCTCCCATGCCTCCTCCAGCTCCTCCTCTCCTCCCTCCTCCATCCACACCCCATCCACTCCTCCAAAAGGGTAAGTCAACAAAGCCTGGTACATTTAGTTGAGGCAGGACCAAGCCCCTCCTCCCTGCATCAAGGCTGAGCAAGGCGTCCCATAGGCACTGGGATCCAAAAAGCCAGCTCATGCACCAGGGATAGATCCTGATCACACTGCCGGGATCCCTCAAACAGACCAAACTACACAACTGTCTCCTGTATGCAGAGGGCCTAGTCTGGTCCCAAGCAGGCTCCACAGCTGTCGGTCTAGAGTTTGTGGGTTCCTAGGAGCTTGGTTCCATTGTCTCTGTAGATTTCACCCCCCTTGCTCATAGAATCCCTCTTCTCTCTCTTCGACTGGACTCCCAGAGCTTGGCCTGGTGCTTGGCTCTGCATCTGCTTCCATCAGTTACTGGATAAAGTGAAGCCCACTCTTAACATTTGTCGCTATAGATCATCACAGAAGAGGGAGTAGGAAGATTGTAAGAGCCAGAGGTAGTGCACATCTGCAGCGAAACCGAGCTTGCTGGACAGAACAGCACCCTAGCACATATGAACTCCCAGTGGCTGTACCTGCATGCACAATCCTTGCACATGATCAAGCAAGCCAAAATCCCAGCACAGATCAAGGGAGAGCTCATGAAGTCCTATTCCGGGCTGAGGAACTATTGGCAGCTGATGGCTTCTTGGGGAGGGAGAGTCAGTTTCCTACAGGGATGTGGTCTCTGAGAGATGGCCCTACACCCACACACACAGGCAGCTCTAAGTGGACTCAGTAGGTTTAAAAGAAGAAGAAGCACATGAAATTGGGAGGGAAAGTGGTAGGGAGGATGTGGGAGGATGTGGGGGGTGTGAAGGGAAGGGAATGTGGGTGAGTGTAATCGAAATATATTACATGCATATACAAAATTATTAAACAATAAACATTTTGTTACTTGAAATTGTTATTTTTTTTTCTTTTTAAGTGACCAGGGAGGCCACCTGTGGACTGAAAAACTTTGGGGTTTCATCTCATGCATGGTTGTAGTTGTACCTGTTTGTTAGGACCACTAGCCCACCAATAACAACATGAAGGCTTATTATTACTTATGAAAGCTTGGCCTTTAGCTTAGGCTTGTCCCACTAGCTCTTATAACTTAATCTGCTTCTATTAATCTACGTTCAACAATGTGGCTTCGTTACCTCTACTCTGTACCATATGTCCAAGCTCTTCAGTGCCTCCCTGGCGTCTTCCTGCCTCTCTTCTTCCCAGAGTTCTCTCTCTCCCCGGAAATCCCACCTATTCTCCCCTGCCTAGCTATTGGCCAATCGGTTCTTTATTAAGCCAATCACAGTATACATCTTCACACAGTGTAAACAAATATTCTGCAACATGTAGTAGTAAAGGTAAAACTAGTTCATTGTCCTGGGGCTGAGGGTGGACTCTTTATTTACTTACCTGTAACTACATCCATCATGGTGGAGGACTTTACACACACACACACACACACACACACACACACACACACACACACACACGGAAGCCATGCATACCTACATTGCCCTCCTGCAATGCTAACTTCAGACCTAGGGGCACATATATGGGTGGTTTTACTTAACTTTGGCAGGATGAATCCAGAAAAGAAATCTCAGAATTCTTGTTTGAGCAGGGACTTCCTGGATCTTGGATTCAGAGTATGGTTCAGGGGGAGAGTGAACTCCAGGTAGTGTCCCTTATCTCCTTCCTGGTGGAGGTGAGCCACGGAAGGCCCTCAGTAGCACAGGCCCAAGCAGTAGCCATCTTGATGAAGTGCAGGCTGATATTATTTCTGAGCATGGCCTCCTAGGGGTAACTCATAGGGAATGGGTTGGTAGACATTCCACTCCACTTGTCCTTTTAGGACACAGGCTCCAGGGAACGAAACTCCGAGATAGCCACTACCTGAACTCAGCTGAAGCTCTGGGTGGTAACTCTGGCCTTTGATATAGAATTCTCTGCCAGATGAGTGCATTGATGAGACATAAATCTTCTCTTGACTGCCCAGGCTTCGGGCCTCAGATAATCCATGAGCCTCATTCTCTCCCCTGTACCTCTTACCCTTTTCTCTGTAGTAGCCAGGTCTATGGTCAGTCCACATCCTCCCTTACCTTCTCATGCTGAGGTATCACTGCATGTGGGATGTGTGTGCTCACGGCTTAGGAAGAAGCCAAGGCTGTGTTGTGTATGTGTGTGGGGTGTGTGTGTGTGTGTGTGTGTGTGTGTGTGTGTGTGTGTGTGTGTTGGAGGATGGGGCTGTTAGGGATTTTCTGGGTGTTAGGCTGTAAGGTACTGTTATCAATAAGAGGCTGGAGGATTCTGCAATATTTGAGGGTCAGGTGATCAGTGGATCGTGGGTTGTAGGACTGGGTATTCCTGGGTCTGATGGACAGACAGGACTGTGGTAAGCACCTGGTGCTCTAGGCTCCTGCAGTTACCCTGGCAGCAGGTGGGCGGGTAGTGAGCAGACCAGACAGTGGTCAGGGAGAGAGCAGCGGGGGTGGGGGTGGGGTGGGGGGATGGGGGGTTGGGGGTGGGGGGGTGGGGTGGGGTGTCATCCCCCTCACTGCCTCTCTAGTTAGGCTGAGTTTTACTGACTTTACCTGACCATGGAGATCCCTGAGTAACCCTAGTAAGAGAGTGCAACCGGAAGGCTGTGTGTGGGCTTGAAGGCAAGACAGAGTGTGACAGTGTCTCAGTCCAAGAGTCCCAGGTCCCAGGACCATCCTGCCCGGGAAGTGTGGCTCTGGCCCCAGCACCACTCTCCTCCCACTTGGAGGGGAAGCTGAAGGTCACCCATCAGCCTGTGATTTCCCGGTATTCTGGGAACACAGCTGAACAGAATCCTTCGCTTTGGGAAGACCTGCCCAGGAAATCACAGCGCTACCCAGTCTTCCATGCCTGCTAACTGTTCTAGGCAAAGTTGCCATTACGGTGATATTTTATTTGTGCTGAAATGTGATTTTATTTGTATGTTAATAAATAAAGTTGCCTGGGGGGGGGGGGTGGGTCAGAGCTAATAGCAAGCCATAGCAGAAGTCTGGCAGTGGTAGCACACGCCCCTAATCTGATCACATGGCAGGCAGAGTCTGTGTGTTCATAGCCAGCTTGGAGACCCATACCTTTAATCTCAATACCAACCATAGAGACCTGGAGGTCTGTATAGACAGGCAGTGACAAGGAGGTCATGTTGTTGGGTTTACAACCAATGAGAAGGCAGAACAGAAAGTCAATAAAAAGACAGACACACAGGAAGTAGGTCTCTTTCTCAGGGGAAGGATGGTAGCGGCAGCGGGGTGGTAAGAAGGCGGTTTTGGTCTCAGCTCTTGGCTACTTCTCTCTGACCTCTGGGGCTTTTAACTCTGCATTTCTTTAATAAAACCATTCAGAATTACATCTACATGCCATTTGCCATTTCTCCCGCGGACTGGACTGACTCTTACTGAGGACAGAGGTCAGACAGATCAGGAGACAGCTTTGAACCCACTGTGGGGGCTGTATGTCTGTCCCAGTACTGCTGTTGACAACGAGGTCTTGAGCCCTTGGAGGACAGGGCTGCGATGTGTTTTAGTAACTGATAGATCTCTGCTGTGGTGCTGTGTGGCAGATGCTCTGTAAAGCTTATTGAATGAGCAGATGGATTCATTTCCTGTTATACAGATTCCTGTTCAAGCTTTTCCTTAAAGCTTTATTTTGTTAGACCAACTATTGCTTCTGACAAGATGTCACATACCACTCTTCCGTTGTCATAGAAGAAAAGTCCTTGGCTCCAGCTAAGTAGCTCTAACTCCACTGATTTGGAAACTTTAGTGAGCAACTGGGATGCAGAAAGTATAATGGAATAATTCCATGGAGACCCCAAGTCGGTCAGCATTTTCTTGGGATCTCTGAGTGACCCACAAGTTTAGGATAAATTCCTTACTTGCTTTAGTTAAGGCCAGAGAGGTTTGTTTTCCCTGTTGCTGTTTTTGCGTTTGCATAGACCCGAAGAATCTTGACTAATGCCAGTGTTTCTCTTTTATTCTTAGACATTCTAAAAACATGACGGTTTCAATGGCTGTGTGTATTATTCACTTGTTTGTATGATTGCTGGTTTGTGTTTCTTGGTAATGGTGTAACTACTTCCCATCACTTTCTCCTTACAGTGCTGATATTTCCCCCAAGCAACACGCTGAGAAAAATGGCAGAGAAAGAGAAGCTAGATTAATTTTCCTCCACAAAGCATGGCTGCTTTCCAGCTCCTTAGCAGAACCCTTCCACTGGCCTCTTCCGTCTCATTGTTTATTCATTCATTCTTTCCTTAAATTGTAATGAGTTCTCACTATTGGAGGATGCTATAGATTGTTGCGGGTAGGAATAGCAAACAGTTTTCATCGTAGCAATCATCTTTGATTGGTAGGGGTAATGTCAACAGTGCATCTAGACTCAGTGGGAAAAGTGTGTTGGCATCTATTAGCTGGGTCTGACATGGCCCTGGAAGACAGAAATTTGTATATACATGCAATGCGTTTGTCACTCGTGGTACAACTTCCTAATATGAACAATCTCTAGTCTATGATCTTGCTCTGAGACAGATCTTGCTCTGAGACAGTTTCTGCTGACTCAGATTTGTTCAAACAGTTCATTTCATAACTGTATTTCATCATCAGTTGGAAAGTTCTTTCCCGGTGATGTAGTGCAGTGTGAGGGGCTGAACTGATTTAGAGAACCAGTTTTAGAACTAATTTTTATCTTGCCTTGACTAATTACATCTTTTTGGCTTCAGCTTTCCACCTAAGAAGTGGAACCCAGTAACCACAAGCCTGCCTCCTCACTGTGATATCCTATTTTTCACATGGGTCAACATCTGCATCTTGGTAACATGCTCCGCTGACCCTGGTTACACAGTCTGGGCTTATGTTAAAGCTTTTCATATATTTGTATATCTGCATCCATCTGAGGTTTTCGTTTTTGTTTGTTTCAAACCAAACACAAGCAGTTTCTTTAGTCATTTCTCATAGGATAAGGACATCTAGACTTCTCACCATGCTGGCCATTCTCTTCTCGATACTCAAAGTTTATTGTATCTCCCTAAAAGTATGACTCCTGGAATGGGAGCCAGGCCAGCTGTGCAGTAGAATATCCCCACTCATATGGTCAGCCTGCCACTCCTGACAATTGGTTGTCTCCAGCACATACCCCAAAGGCGAGACAGCAGCTGACACTTTCACAGACCTAGGGAGGTTGTATTCTGGAGTTTTACAGACTTTTGTTTCAGGCTGCATGCAGAACGGCTACAGGGAGCCGATGGGTCCAGCCTGAAAGGGACAGTTGTTTCCCTGAGAGATCAGCAAGAGCTGGTTAACACAGGTACTGTGTCATACACATGGAAGAAAGACTTGGTGGGGATGCCATTCTCCCCCTTCCCCCTCCCTCTTTAAAGCACTGAGTATTTATACCTGCACGAAGGAAATGAAACTGTCTTTGAACTGGTTCTTGTGCTACACTCTCCCCCATCCTCTCATATTAGTTTTGGGATACAGCGTCTCGCTCTGTAGCCCAGGCTGCCTTGGTACTCACCAGATAGTCTAGGCTGACCTTAAAGTCACAGCAATTCTGCTTCAGCCTTTCCAGTGCTAGGATTACAGGTGTAAGCTACCATGCTCAGCTAAATTCTAATATTCCGTCACTTGACCTCTTGGTCCCAGCAGATCTCACGTTTATCCTTCATACAAAAGAATAGGCTCAAATGCTATCGCTGAAGATAAAGAAGAAGAGAACAAGGAAGAGGAAAGGCAGTCTGGAGAGGATGCTGGTCTGAGCATGTACATACTAGATACATCCCCCAAAGAGACTGACACCTTGACTCACTGGGGCCCCCTCTGCCTCCCAAACTCCAAGGAAAAGAGGCCCTTGCTCTTTAGACCCTGAAGACCTCCATGAGGTGGCCCCAGGCCTTATCTCTGGACCTTTCCCTTCTCTTATTTCTCCCTCGTTTGGATCCAGCCACCTGGTCTCTGTTGGCTGTGAACTGTGCTTCCACTTGAGGGCTTTGCTGTTCTGTGCTGGCAGCACTCACCTGCCAGTGCGTGGTGACATCCTAGTTCCGATGAGTCCTCTCCTTCCTTCCTTCCTTCCTTCCTTCCTTCCTTCCTTCCTTCCTTCCTTCCTTCCTTCCTTCCTTCCTTTTTTTGTGGCTCTGGAGATTGAACCCAGAGCCTCCTGCATGCCAGGAAGCACTCTCCCACTGAGCTATATTCCCCAGCCCATCTTTTTGCACTTTGTTTTGAGACAAGTTTCTGACTAAACCAGCCAGGCTAGCCTTGAACTTACTCTGTAGTCCAGGCGGGCCTTGAATTACCATCCTCCTACCTCAGTTTTCCAAGTAGCCAGGTCTCTAAGCTTGTACCACAAAGCCAGCCTGCCTTATCTTTTAGACGGAACCCGTCAGCATCTAGCATATACTTATCAATTTATTTATATGCCATTGAACATGGATTCTACAAAGGCAAAGGCTTTGCTTCATCCGAAACTGATTCCTCAGGGCCTCAGAGAGTTCTCAGCATATGCTGAATGCTCAGTTCATACTTGGGATGGTGTAACTTTTGAAGCATCTTTCCCAATGTCTCTTAGAATAAGATTGGTCTCCCACAAGCACTTTGTGTTTTCCAGAGGAAGGATAATAAGTCTAATAAGGATAATAAGTTGACAAGTGAGTCACTGGGGATGGGAGCAGCAGTTTGTTTGAGCAGCATGTCCTGTCCCAAGAGGCCCTGGTACAACTCCCTGCAAATCCACTGTCTACACAAGGTAGATAAAAAGACGAGACCTGTGCTTGGATTTGAGGTGAGGCTGTGGAGATAAAGGGAGGAAAAGTGGGGGACAGACAGTGTGTGTTTTATCACCCCAGAACCACCATGGCTCATCACTAGAGCCTGGGCTTCCCTTTTCACGTTGTTTCATAGACAGGCTGGTTTTCCATGAGTTGGTGAGAAGATGCCTATAAGTGGCAGGGGAGGGCAGCACAAGCTGCCAGGCCGTGTGGGCACGTGCACTCTACACGCGGAAGTTGGACGAAAGGGGAGAGAAGAAAAGTGAGTGCAGGTGAATGAAAGAATTCGATAAAGCCAGGAGCCTCTGAGAAAGGCCGGCGAGAGGGGATCCAGGGTAAGTGGACAGGAGGTGTGTGATGTGAACACACCAGCCAGTGGATGGTGCCCATTATTTGTCCCAGGTAAAGTGGCTGTCTCGGCAGTGAGGAGAAGAGGGAAGGTGCCAGGGCAGGACTGACTTCCTGGGTGGAGAGACTGAAGCCACCCAGGAAACACACTCAAAACTATCTCTGTAGCTGGAGTTTTCCTGCCTGGCCCACAGTCAGGACAAATCTCTCTCACCCGCCAGTCCCAAGCCGCTCAAACCTGATCAAGTAAACACAGAGACTTATATTGGTTACAAACTGTATGGCCGTGGCAGGCTTCTTGCTAACTGTTCTTACAGCTTAAATTAATCCATTTCTATTAATCTATACCTTGCCACGTGGCTTGTGGCTTACCGGTACTTTACATCTTCCTTGTCCTGATGGCGGCTGGCAGTGTCTCCCCTCCCAGCTTCCTGTTCTCTCAATTTTCCTCTCTGTTAGTCCCGCCTATACTTCCTGCCTGGCCACTGCCAATCAGTGATTTATTCATTGACCAATCAGCAACACATTTGACATACAGACCATCCCACAGCACCTCCCCTTTTCTTTTCTTAAAAAGGAAGGTTTTAACCTTTACACATCTCCAAAGTCAGCTTGGTATATTTGGGAATTTGGGCGTAGCTTCTCTTACTACTTCCTGCTGGAGGGGGGCGCTGTATCTTCTGGGGAAACAAAGAAAATTTTAGGATCATGGAGTAGTCCGTGAGGCTGTATCATCTGAGCCAGTTGCCTTGAAACGGTTCTGGATGTTGGATCATCTGGGCCATGGTGTCATCAGAGACCTTTCAGGTGGTCTTGGCTGGTCAAACCTGATGTGTCTTAATCTTGAGCAAATCCATAGCCTCTGGCTTTCTGTGGAAACAAAAGAGACTCTTTTCCAAAGCAACGTATCCTTACATCCAAATTTTGAAGTCAAAGTATCTTTAAAATATACATACTGGTTTAACTCAGCTTCCTTTACAATCAAATATCTCTCTGTAGTTAAGAATCCCAAAGACAACACAATCCAGATTCTCTGTGTAATAGTCATCTCTACGTGGCTTATTTTTTATATTAATTTTACTGTCTCTTTAAAGACTTTATTTTTTTTTAAAACCATGTATTTGTTTCTATACTGTATATATCACCTTTTTTTGTCTCTTTTAAGCCTACGTATATTTTACATACATTTTAAACTATTACATCTGAATCTGTCTTATTGTGAATCTATTGCTTTAAGCTGCAGCAGCTGTGGCTACTGGCTCCGCCCACCTCAGCTTCCCAACATGGCGGCAGTATGCTTACCGCCAGCTCTGGGAGCCATCATGGGTCTATGCTTTTATCCAAGCAGCGTGTAGCCCAGAAACCTCTTTTTTTTGTTTTGTACTAGCAAAGGCTAAATCCACAATGCAGCTTAATATGCCACTTGCAGAGGCCTCATTCCCACCATACGGGGGCAGGTCGAGCGCACACGCTAGGAACCCGCCAGTAGCTCAAACCGGCAGCTGCCGCTCATTTGAGAGAGACAATTAGGAAGCTGTTTTTAGCTCCGTTTTAGAATCTTTTTTTTCAGGTTTTAGGTGGAAACTCTTGCCCCACGTTGGGCGCCATTTGTAGCTGGAGTTTTCCTGCCTGGCCCACAGTCAGGACAAATCTCTCTCACCCGCCAGTCCCAAGCCACTCAAACCCGATCAAGTAAACACAGAGACTTATATTGGTTACAAACTGTATGGCCATGGCAGGCTTCTTGCTAACTGTTCTTACAGCTTAAATTAATCCATTTCTATTAATCTATACCTTGCCACGTGGCTTGTGGCTTACCGGTACTTTACATCTTCCTTGTCCTGATGGCGGCTGGCAGTGTCTCCCCTCCCAGCTTCCTGTTCTCTCAATTTTCCTCTCTGTTAGTCCCGCCTATACTTCCTGCCTGGCCACTGCCAATCAGTGATTTATTCATTGACCAATCAGCAACACATTTGACATACAGACCATCCCACAGCATATCTCTGCTTCCTCAGTGCCTCCTTCCTCTCCATTATCAAGGTCTGGGCGGGGCCCCAGGATAAAATCCATTCCATTTGGATGAGAATAAGCGTGGACCTTAGTAGCTGCTCCTCCACGAGGACAGATTTAACTCAGTAAGTGCTTTGTTTTCCCAAGCAGCAATAGACAGCCTAGACTTTTTCAAGACAGAATCATTCAATGGCAGGATACATTTTCCAAGGATGGCTGTAACAGTATCCTCTACAGTGGCGGCCTGTGTCAAAGCGACCTTGACGATCCTACAGGTGAGTGGTAGGGACTTTGCTCTCCCCTTGAACTTAGGTGGGTCTTCTACACTTGCATCTGAAAATGAATGTGGCCGATCCTGAAGTGTCTCAGTATCCTTCCCCTCCACAGTTTTCCTCCCATGTAGCTGTTCATGGCTCTTCCTTCTCCCAGTTTCAGGAGGACAGACTCACCCTGAACTTAGCGGCTTCTCTTGCTATTGTGCAAGGCTTCCCTGTTGGCTGGGTCAAACTCTCTGTTTTTGTTTGTTTGTTTGTTTTTCCTTTCTGGCAATGGTGTAGAATGTACAGAGAGACCCCCAAATACTACCCCAGATCATGTAGAAGGCATGAGAGTAGTTAATGGTGATGAAGATGTCTATTAATAGGGTGCTACCAGAAAAATGGCTTCCAACCCAAGATGGCGGCATGTCAGCTATCCTTCGTCACCCATAACCTCAATTGACCTTTGAGGGGCCTTGAACTCAGATGCCCAAAGTCCTTCATGCCAGAAAAGAAAAGCCCTTCCTTCCCTCCACCTTTCCTTATTCTGTAACTTTCCTTATGGTAACATCTTGAACACAAGAATCTCAGATTCCAGGGGCTGGGGTTGGAGTTGGCAGTGGTTAGCTCAAATGTCTGATATCTCTTAAGGCCCAGGACCTGGCCTGGAGGCAGTCTCTTGATAGTTAAATAATTCCTTCTATACAGTAGTATAGAAGGACAATGTCTCTGTGGATCCTAGAGAATGTCCAGTGCTCTTGAGGAAGCACCCTCTTAGTCCACCTTGCCCCCCGGAGGGTGATGGCTTCCTTGGCTGTTCTCTAGCGGCAGACAGGAGACTTGTGGAAGTTCTGAGGACCCTGGAAGTTTCCGGGTGTGGAGCATCATGTGGCTGGGCAGGGCGTCTCATCATGATCCAAGCACCAGTTTATGTGTCCTTCATGGCGTATCTTACACGAGGGGATTCTCCGTCTCTGGAACCACCCTGTCAGTGCTAGCATCCTTCCTTTTCCTTTTCCCTGGAGAGGAGACCAGAAGGTTGGAGTCTCAGCATATTCGGCCCCAGGCTCTGAACACTAGGTATCCTGAACCCAATCACCCCTTCTTGTTTTCTAAAGCCATGGAAAAGGAGATGTCTGTTAAGAACGGGACAGTCTTCTTAATGTCTACATGTCATCCGCACCCATACCGTGAGTTAGGGCTGTGTGGTGCCTGGTTAAATAACAAGAATGCGTGTGGCGGAGCGCGGACCAGCCCCTGGACACGTTGTGTGGAGATTTACATTATCCCAGGTGGCCACAGCTGTTCTTTTATGAGCCTTTAAAATGTTAGGTTACATGAAAGGAGGTTATTGCAAAGAACCATATAATGGGATTCCATTCACGTAAACTGTCCGGAATAGATAAGGAAAGTGGATGCGTGGTTGCCGTGGCTGCACAGGGGAGTTGAGGAGTGTTGACTCAGTAAGTGGTTATAGTCTTTTGGTGGGGAAGGTGATAGAAATGTTCTAAATTGGTTGTGGGTAGGAGATAAAGCTCTGGATTAACTTAAAGCCATTAAATTGTGCACCTTAACTAGGTGAATTGTACAACATATGATTTACAGTTCAATAAAATAGTTTTTAAAAAATGGCTCTTTTCTTGGTTTCTACCTTCTTACTACAAATCCTGGGGGGCAAGGGGTATGGGACAGACCCTCTTCCTAACAGACAGGACCCCTAAATGGAGTGCAGTGTAAGCTGTCCACCTCAACTTTCCTGTCCCTTGAGAAAAATACACAAGTACCTGTCACTCCTGGACCTAATGCTTAGTCACAGAGTAAGACCCTGGTCTTCCAGGACACAACTAACATCGTAAGGGCAGGAAGCTCAGCAGGGAAACAGCCATGAAGCCTGTGACATCTGTGATGCTCCTTCAGGGGCAAGGTACAGGGCATCTGGGCAGACGCAGGGATAATTATCTGTGTGTAGAGCCCAGAGCCTGATCTGACCAGGTTTTCTTCATCACTCTTCTGTAGAAGTTGGTCTTGTGAGCCATTGGCCAGAGGTGGGGGTGGGGGTGGGTCTTCTCTCGGGAGTTCCTTTCTTAAGAATGGTTGGCAAGAAGTGAGTAGGGTTCATCAATACTTTCCCTCAATAACTATTCACCAGTGCTCTTCCTGTTTTAGGAGCCATGATGCTCGAGGGACCCACTGGGTGTGTCCCATCATGACCCAACCTTTGCTTTTGTGTGGCTCAAAGGTCAGCAGGAGCAGACAGGTCATTAGTCCTTGGGATGGAGTAAGCAAAGGCAATTAAAGGAAGGAAGTTCATCAGACTGAAGGTAGGCATGGAGAGGGGGAGGTAGGGAAGGCTTCCGGGAACACACTCCCCTTGAAGACTCAGCAAGAGAGGGCCAATTGGAAAGGGAAAAATCACAGAAAGCGTGCCTTAGGCAGAGAGACTATAATGTGCACAGGCCTGCGGGGAATCTGAGAGAGCAGCTCATTTGAAGAATCGCAGAAGAAAAATCAAATTGTTCAGTCTGGTTGGAGACCAAAGTGTGAGGGGCGGGCCAAGACATGAGACGGGAGATGCAAAGGAGCAGGCCTCTGAATCTATGTGGGAGGAGTCTAGTCCCATCTCCTTCCTGGCATTCCCACCCACTTCCCCCATGTTCTGTGCTTACAAGACTCCTACTTGAGCAGGGGCCATGGTGCCATGCCCCAAAGAGACCAGCTAGAATCAGGAACACTGAGATTGGCACTACCACCAGCAGCACGTCCTTGTAGGAGGCCTTCCCAGAGGCTGCAACATGGAGGGTAGAGTCAGAGACGGGTCTGATGCACCATAATCCCCAAACCATTGCTTACTGGCCCTTGGCCTACCTGCTTCATGATGGCAGCTCTCCCAGGGAGTGACTGTGGCCATATCCCAGCTGACAGGGTTGGAAGCGATGCAGGTATAGGCCACATCTTTGTCGCCCAGTCCCAGCGAGACACTTAACACCTGTCCATTTGAGAAAAGGCTGTGCAGTTCCATGTCAACGTCCATCAGCCTCTCCCGTCGCCAGCTATAGGTTATGTCACTGATGTTGGGGGCCCAGCAGGACAAGAAGACCTGGCAGGTGTTGGGGGGTTGAACCTCTTCCGTTGCAGCAGTGAACACTCGAACCACGGGCTTGGGCACCGTATCTGTGTGAGAGCAGCAGAGCAGAGTGGGTTAGGGGGCTGCTGGGTGGAGTCCACAGCTCTGTGTCTGGGTTCTATGCATGCTTACATGCCTCTTTGGTTCTTCCATCTCGTTTATCTCCCCGTTGCCGATTCTTTAGCTCGGTATCCAAAGCTTTTATGAAATGATTCGTGCCAACCTCTTCAGCTACACTCTCTGCGGGTCTTCCTCACCTAGTCCATTGGTTTGCAGTTCTCCTAAACATGAGGTGCTGTTTCATACATTTCAGGCTTTTGTGTGGCTCATCTGTGCACACAAATGCTCCCTGCCTCCTCTAAAGAAGGTCTTAGGTGCCGGGCGGTGGTGGCTCACGCCTTTAATCCCAGCACTTGGGAGGCAGAGGCAGGCGGATCTCTGTGAGTTCGAGGCCAGCCTGGTCTCCAAAGCGAGTTCCAGGAAAGGCGCAAAGCTACACAGAGAAACCCTGTCTCGAAAAACAAACAAACAAAAAAACCAAAAAAAAAAAAAAGGTCATAGGCCATACTCTGGCTTGTCCTCATACTCACAATCCTCCTCCTGCTTCTACTGTCAGAGTGCTGCAGTTACAGGGTTGTGCCACCATGCCTGGTCCTATTCTTTTCCTTCTTGCCCACCTAGGGACCCCCTATGCATCCTTTAAGACACCCTCCTCCCGCCCCTGCCCCGTCAGACACACTGCTTTTTATGTGTGTCTTTTTATGCTTTTTATGCCTTGACTGTGACACCTTCTCCGATAGTTCAGGTAGGACTCAGAGTTCTCCAGGCACCCCATTCGTGTCTTTTTGAAGCCCTTCATTCACAGTGTGCCAGTCAGTCAACAAGGGATGACAAGTATTTATTAGTTCAGGTAAGAACACACATCCCGCCGCACTTGGGGAGCCTACAGTTTAGTGTAAGGAGACAGACACTGACACGTGATGATGAACAAGAAAATAATCATAAGGGCATAAAATGGGGTGAATGAGGAGAGCCCGGAGGGGGGTGGGGGTGGGGGCTCTGTCATCGCCGTAACCTTAGCGCTCTAGCGCTGGCAAATCGGTGTTTGATACCTGGGCTGCTAACAAATTAGTGTCCTGGCATCCTAAGCAGCGGCTCCTCATTCCTGTACAGATTGATGAGTAAATCCCACGTCTCTAGCAATGGGGCCAGTGGGAGAGCATTATGGTGGCCACAGGAGGGCCGAGTCTCTGACAGCGTTCCAAAGTCAAGCAGAGTCAAACCTCGTTAATGCCAGCTCAATCTGGTGGGATTTGTGATATGAAAAAAAAGAAATGATTTGCTGGGCATACTAATAGTATAAACAGAGATTACAGGGGGGATATTTACACCACTTAAGAGGACTAGCTGCCTCCAAACACGATCAGGCGCCGTAGAAACACCCATCGACATTTCTGGTAACTGATCCGCTAATTCAAATCATTCTTATCTATTGTCAGAGCCGAGCTCCTAAGGACGGCTGCTTGGCAGCTTCCTGCAATTAGTTCTAATCACGCTATGTATTTGGAAGCAATAAAACAGCAATTTCCTCAAAATCTGTAATTCAGATACTGAGAACAAGGCATTTTAGGGCTTAGTGGTGTGGGTGCCGCCTGCATTACCACACTCAATGTCCTTGTTTCACGTGTGCAGCAGCCGAGACGTGGAGGAGAGGCTCCAGGGCCTGGGTGGCTGTGCAGGTCATTCCCTGCACAAGGGCACTGGGGGGGGGGGGGGGTGGCGCTACACAGTGCTGAAGTCCAGCCAGCATTCTGCCTGCTGAGATGGACAGCTTGCTGCATGCCTTCATGCTTCTAGAAGTGCACCCTCTAACTGTACATCAGCATCCTGAATGGCTCACCCAAGGGCAGGTAAAACAGCTGTCTCTGGGGCTTTGAGAATCCTCCCCAGTTTGCTTACTGGCCCCTCTCTCCTGCTTCCTCTTTCCAGCCTCTATCCCCACTTCCCATTCTTAAATCTGGACTCTCTGCAACCTTCTCCATTTTTTGAGTTTTCACTGAAATACTGGTGTGGGGCCACACATAGTTTTGTCTCAAGTCATTCGGTAGATGAAATGAATGGGAGTTAAAAAGGCCCGGAGCAGCAGAAATGAATGGAGATAGTGGAGGAGAGAGACAGAGAGGAAGGAGGAAGGGAGAGTGAGAGGGAGGGAGAGAGGGAGAGAGAGACTGAGAGAGAGCAAGCTCATTCTATCCTCACCCTATCCTTAGCCAATTCATCCACTCCAGCTGCAGGGATAAACGCAGCTGCACACGGTGCTGGTATTGTGGAGCAAAGCCCACCCCATGGACCCTAAGAAACGAAATAAAAATAGTGACTATTTTTTAGCTCCTAAGTAACGCAGCTCGGGTTAGCCTTGAACCCACAGCAATCCTCCTGCCTCAGATGCCCAAGTGCTAGGATTAGAGGCACGTGTTACCCACCCAACTAAAAGATCTTTTAGGAAAAACAAGACTGGGGGTGGGTGTGGTCCAGATCCCTGGTATACAGTTGGTTCTTAATATGTACAAGCCCTAGGTTGAATCTTTGGTGCTAACTTTAGAACAACAGAAATAAAAAAAAGAAGAAGAAAGAAAACAACAAAACCTCCACAAAACAAAACAACAAAACCCCCATAAAAACACACAAAACCCCCAAACAAAACAGAAATATAGAACAAAAATCCTATAATTAATTATAATTCAAGTTGAATTTAACTTGTCAGTAAAAACTAATTACGTCATATGCCACATTTTTCCTTTGCCTTTTTTTTTGTGTGTGTGGTAAATAAAATAATAGAACCAGCTTTGATGATACCTTAGAGGGGATCAACAGTCCACTTTGCCCTACACACCACTGTGCTTCATCCTGATGGGGATTGTACATAGTAGGTGTTATAAGGCTCACTGTAGGAATGAGGAAAGAAGAGAAGGTCTGGTGGGTGAGCATCATGTCCCAGCCTGCTGAGCCAAGGAAAGAACGAAAGGAGTACAGATGAGGTATGAGGTGCTCACCGGGGAAGTGTGTGGGAAGCTTTTTTAGATGTGACTTCTGGGGAGTCGCTTTTCTCTGATTTAGCCACGTGGCCAAAGGCCGTACCTTTCTGGAACCCAGCCCTCCCCAGCTCCCGTGGCTCCAGATGCTTGGCTGGTAGTTTGCAGGAGGAGAGTCAGGGAACCAGTGTTGGACACACTTACCGTACACCTTGAGATGCAGGGTCTGGGTCCAGGTTTGACCCCCGGTGTCCACCATCAGCACGGAGAAGTTGCCGCTGTCTCCAGTTTTCAGGGGCCCAAGCTCCAGGCTGAGGTTGCCATGTAGCTGGACTCGGCCCAGGAAACGGGAGTGGTACAGAGTCTCCAAGGAACCCCGGAAAAACGTGGCCAGGAGCTCCTCTGACGGCCAGAGAGATCGCCAGATGGCCTCGCGCACTTGGAAGCCAGGAGGGCACTCTGCCGCCAGCAACACGGAGTCCCCCACCTTGCTGAGCACTTGGACACCGATAACCACGATGGGAAGGAGTACTGTAAGGACAGAAGCCGCGGTGAATCTGCCTGTGTAGGCGTCTTGTCCTACTCCTGGCAAAGAGCTGAGTTGCTCAGAATTGAGTTAGGGCCCCTCCGCCACCCAGCAGCTGCACTGAGTTGAGGGTGTAGCAGTAGTGTGTGTCATGGATGGGGAAACAAAACAGGAAGAGAATCTGGTCTCTGTTCATGGAGAAGCCAGACCTCAAGCCAGCCACTAAAATAAATGAAGTTATCACGCTGAGAAAAAGTGGCTGAACGCAAGTAGGTTAATAGGGGTGCTCACCCAGCCTGGAGCGGCCTCCGAGAAGATACAACTCAAAGGAAGAATAGGAAGCAGCCAGTCAAGCAGTGGCTCCTGGAGTAGGGATGGAGAGGAGCTACAGGCTGAGGAACAGGAGGAGTACAAGGGAGAGAGCATGGGGAAATGAGAGGGGTTCAGGAGGGGAAGTGGGCAGTGCACCAAGAGTTGGCGGGATCACGCTGTATCATGAAGCAGAATTGGTGTCTGGGCTTCTAATCCTTAGAACAACGGTGCGTGCTTGTGTGGTGTGTGTGTGTGTGTGTGTGTGTGTGTGTGTGTGTGTGTGTGTGTGGTGTCTCACGTAGATTTTAAATGAGAAAGCGACATGATGAAGTGCAGGCCTAAGATGGCCATGGCAGGAGGCATGGAGAATGCATTGGAGGTGGGGGAAGGTGGAGGCCGTTTGTATTCATGCAAGAGAGAGGTGATGGAAACTTGAACAAGGGAAGGGAACCACAGGGATGGGGAGAATTGAGACAGAGAGATTAATAGTGTAATTAACAAACTCTGGGATTAGATTAGGTCTGGAGAGGGAAGGAGAGAACTCAGAGTGTGCCCAGGTCTTTGGGATCCATTACATATCATTATTGTGATCTGAAACAAGGGCAGAGACAGACAGATGACAGCAAGGTGCTGCGCTTTTTTGAGGACTGTTCTGAGTTTGAAATACGAGGGAGACAATCCTCCTTGAACTGCCCTCTTGACCCCTTTTCTGCCTTGTTCATGCTTCCTCTGGAAGTATCACCATCACCTCTAACCTCTGCCGTCTCTGGCCGCAAGTAGACATGCTTTCTGTTTTCCCACAGTGATCAGGGATCAGCACCCCTATCTACTATTATTGTCTGTTTCTGAATCAGCATCTCCCACCAGGCCGTGAACTCTTTCAGGTCAAGAGCAAATGTCTTCATCTGTTCTTGCAGTGCCCCAGTTTCATACCAGACTTCAGGAGCTCAGGAAATCGCACCGAGTTTGCCGAGGACTGGCCCAGAGCCTGGCATAGAAGGAGGCTTTGGGATGCAGGGCAGGGTGAGGGCTGATGTGTAATGTATCCAAGCGCTGCGAGTTGGGATAAGGAGACCCGTTCTGGATGGCCACTCTGCTGGCCACAACCCTAGTCTTTATCCACATCCTCGCCCTCCCTGGACCCAGCCGTCTCCATCCTGTTGGGACACAGCTTCAGTCTTAACTGGAGATGTCAGTCCAGACTGAGGTTCTCTCATGTCCTGGCTACCCTCTCACCTTCCTCCCCTAAGTAAGACGTGGAGGCTGTCTCAGCGCTGTTGGACCATTCTCTGTTGCCAGTAAGAACATCTCTAAAAATGATTGAAGGTCTGAGGATGTAGTGAGCTCTTGTTTAGTTCTTATGAGTCCCCGAAGGATACAACAGTGTCTTGGGGTCTGTGAACTCCATCCTGGCCCTGCAGGGGCTGACCTTGTTGATGGAAGAGTGGGACTCGGGCACAGATTGATGAAGGGGGCCACTGAGAGTTTGGAGACTATTCTCAAGCCCACAGGGACCATGTTTAACCTTCTGTTACCTCTCCTCTGTGCCAATGTTCACCTCTACTTGTACAGGACAGAGAGAGGGACCCTAGCATTCCTACAGGCTGCCGAAAACGCTCCTCAGACCATAGGGAACCTTGCTCTGCATCACCCTCCCCTCCTCTTCCTAGACTGTAGAATCCCCATGTATCAGTATTGACAGAATCCCCATCATCCCTGCACCCAACCTTCTCTCAAAGCTGCCACCATTTTAAGCCACTCCGGGCCCTAGAACAGATGGTATCTCCTGGATACAGATGCCACTAGTGCCGCCACCCGCCACCCCATTTCCTCCAAGACCCCACTTTAGGTTGCCTCAGAGGTTGCTTCAACTCTTCACTTCTCCTTAGCTTCCTACTTGGTTTTGGGAGGCAGCTGCCTAGAGGTCTGATGAGGGCAGCTAGGGAGGGGCTTTCAGCTCCCTGAGGACAGGCTGTCTGTCCATCTGCTCCACTTACCTTCGCAGAGAAGAAGACCCCAGAGGGACCACATGGCAGACGTCCTCCTTCGGAAGATTCCCTCAACAAACCAGGATATCCTAGGCCAAATGAGTGCACGGAAGGAGCTGTGGTCCTGCTGGAAAGTCCCATGTTCAGAAGGAGGAATCTTGACTCAAAACAAGATGTCTGGAAAGTGAAAGCATCCCGAATAAGGCGGAAGTTGGCTGCAGGCCCGGCTGGGCCTCGCTGGGCTTTCAGGAGCTGATTCTTGTAAGTCAGCCTCTTTCCTGTGCACATGGCTTGCCAAAGCATGGTGACAAGCACACCCACATGGCTCATGGGCTCCTTGCAGATGGTCACCAGGCTCTCTGCATCCATCCCTGCCCAGGGCTGTGTCTAATCATCATCATTGCCACAGAGAGTTCTCTGAGCTGCAGTTCCAATCATCACTTCCCCTCTGCTGAAAACTCTTTGAAAGCCTTCCGCTGCCCGTCGGATAAAGACTAAACACTGAGCTTAGCATGTGAGGCTCCTCAACTTCTCCAGGCTGACTGCCCATATCCCCATTCCTCTCGGGCCATCTCAGCCCGATCACCTCTTTTTAGAACCACCCATTTGACATTTGCACACATCGTATCGGCTTCCCAATCAGGGATGCTCTTCCATCTATCCTCCCAGATCCGGGCCAGCTCTGTACCCAGCCAGGCTGTCCTTCAAGGCTTCCTGACTACAGACAGAGTGGCAAGCCTTTGTACCCATGTGCACTTACATGTTGCTTCCTTATGCCCTTGACATGTTGCTGGTCATAGCTTCATAGTTTCTGCAGGCTGTTTAACAGCAACACTTGTATTTGTTTCTATGCTGGACATGCTTATTATTTAATAAATAACTGTTAGAGAGTGAATGACTGCTAGACATGGTTACCCCTTTTGCTTTTATGTAAGGCTGAGGACCATTCTCAGAGCTGAGCTTCTTGTAGCCCTGGTGGAAGTATTAATGGTGAAAGAATTTAAAGCCAATGTAATGTTAGGCAGCTTGCTGGGGTCACAGAGGGACAGAGCATGGGTCTATTCTGTCACAGTTACCTCCTCACTCTTATTCTCTGCTTTTAGTTAATTAGCTGCTGCTTCTCCTCCTCCTCCTCCTCTTCCTCCTCCTCCTCCCCTTCTCCTCCTCCTCCTCCTCCTCCTCCTCCTCCTCCTCCTCCTCCTTCTCCCTCTTCCTCCTCTTCTTTCCTCGGTACTAGGGATGGAATGGAAGGCCCCTGGAATGTTCTACTACTGAGTACTCCTATCCCTAGCAGGGAAGTTTTCTTAAGATGCTGCCCTTGAGAAAGATTCCTAAATGTCCTGAGTGGGGATCATTGTGTGTTGCCCTGTATAGTCTCTAGCTTCTCAGTCAAATGGGTATCAGGCTTTGGTATCATTGAATCAGAAATTAGACATATAGGATGGTGAGCAGGAGAGGTTGGAGAGAGAGTCCCTGCCTGTAGAAACAGACATGCCAGGAAGAGTGAAGGCTGCTGGCACACAGGAATTTCTCTAGACAAATGAGCCACACAGGCAGTCAGCATTGCATGAGGGCCAGGGGAAGGTGTCTGTGGATCTGGGCAGGGATTGTTTCCCGAGAAGGCAGACTTTGAGCATGATTTATATAGGAAGAGAAAAAGGAGGCCAGAGGTTCTGATGGGCCTTCAACACAAAGAGGGAGTTGAGCGTGTCAAGAGTTTGTGGTGTGAAAGTGAAAGCAGGCTCCAGGAACCATGAGGGGGCAGTCAGGGGCCATCTTTGGAAGGCGAAATGGGAAGAGTGGAAGGGGAGATTGGAGTCTGATTATGCACGTTGAACACTGGGTTCAGATATTCTGGAGAGCCGTGGCTCTCCTTGTTAAATATTTGAGTTCCCAGGGATGCTGACTTAGTGGGCGGGGATGGGCCCAGGAATCTTAGTCCTAATAAACACTGTACTGGGTGAACATGTCACCGATGGACTGAGGGAATGCCATAAGAAGCCCTGCTTGGAGGCAGGGGGCTGTTTTTGTGCAGAGCAGGCTGGGAGAGGAAGAGGAAGGGAGTCCGAGAAACAGGAGGGCCTGAACTAGGAAGGGAATGTCTGGAGGAGAATAGGCGGTCTGCTGAACAGAAGTCCCAGTGGAACCTGGAGGTTTCTGGATGTCGGACAGAGAAGCCAAGGGAGGGGACTCATTCATGGCTCTCTTGTCAATTCTGTCATCTATTCATCAAGCATTTATTGAGCATCTATTTAGGTGCCAGGTGCTGGGGACACAGAGATGAAAGGCTTAGCCCCTGCCCTTAAGGAGTCCGAAGTTTAGAGGAGGAGATGGGATGCGTAACCCAATAATTACAATCAATGTAACAAGAACAATGCTAGAAGTGTGCATAGGATGCTGTGGGAGCCAGAGGGCAAAGGCCTGGCCTGGGTGGGTAGAAGGCTGAGGGGTGTGGAGGGCATTGGTTGAAGGACGGGTGTTTGAGTGAGTCTTAGAGTACAAGCCGGATGGGGGTAGTGGTTTTGAAAGCAATCTCTAGAGTTAGACCTGCACCCAAGTGTGGCCATGAAGCCATGAGAAAAGTAACTTCCCTGCTTCGGTGTGCTCACCGGAGGGATGGGGATCAATAACTGGATCTCCCTCTTAGTGTTGACCATGGGCTCACCACGGATCTGGTCCACAGTGAGGTTCAGGTGCTAACCAGGCCTGCAAGTGGCCAGAGTCAGGAAAGAGACAGCTGCAGAGGGAGGGCAGAGGCCTCGTTTCTCATCTAGACTGGGAGCTCCGTGATGGCACAGAGCAGAGCTCTTTCCCTTGTCTGTCTCCTGGGCTGCCTAATGCAGGCTTTCCATGAGGTGATGATGACCTGAAAGCGTGTCAAATTGTGCGGGGTGATTCTGCAGTGCACAAGACGAGCGAGCGTGGTTTGCAGGATGCAAAAGCAGGGCAAAGTGGGCCAGAGCTTAATTCCTCTGGAGGACCCAGTTGGTTGTCCCTAGTGGTCCTCCAATACTCCTCCCACCCCGTCCCAGTCAGCTGACAGGGAGAAGGGGGAGAATGGGTAAGGCTTGGAAAATATCTTCCAAAATAACCTCCCCAAAGGGGAAAACTTTCCTTCTGCTATGTGACAGTGGAGAAAGGCAGACTGAAGAACGACGTGCTTCATCCCAGGTGCAGGGAAGGGTTAAGGTCTCCAGGCAGGCAGGTTCCCCCTAGAAATGCGGCTAATCACTGGTTCACACCACATTAATTACCCAGCCACAGGGGGGAGTGTGCTAGAGTAAATTAGCAGGTGAGTTCAAAGGGGCCACTCCCTGCATTCCTTAATTAAGAGAGCAGCTGGCAGCCAGGGCTGCTACTCCTGTCTCCCTGGGGCCTTTCTGGGAAGCTGGAGTCAGGAGGAGTCTGCGCATACTGAGGATGGAGAAGTAGCTTCATCTGCCCTGTGGTGTAGTCCGGGCCTCACCATTAGCCCATTTCTACCACTGGCTATGGGAAGGGTGAGCAGGTGGCCAAGTGATGACCTGCCTGAACAGAACCAACAACCTAGGCCTGCTTGGTGTAGAGACGGAGGCTGGGAGGGATTGGGTGAGGGTGAGCCAAGTTGTGTTTGAAATGCCTTGTCTGCAAGGCCAGCATGGGGCCATGCTTCTTCCACAGGGAGATGTGAGAAGGTTGAGAGAAGGCAAGAAGGCGGGGTGCAATTGGGAGAGAGGGGAGCCAGGCAGGGAAAGAGGCGAAGGCAGAGTGGCTGTGGAGGAAGAGGCATTCAGCAGTCTCCTAGGGAACCCAGGGTGTTACTGGGTAATGGGGTAGCCTCTAGGTGTAGCTGAGGGCAGGCAGCACTCTACTGCTCCTCCAAACTTTAAGGACTGAGATCCTGACCAGACCAAACCAGAATGGAGTTATTCTTACTAGGCAAGTATCTTAAAACAAGAAATTGTCTAATCAGTTAATCGGAAGGAGACTAGTTTACGTTTATGGAGTCTCATGTGTTACAGGCTGGCCTTGACCTCATTGATAATAAAGGACGACCTTGAACTTCTGACTCTCCTGTCTCTACCCGCCCTGAATGTTGAGATTACAGGCATGCCCTGTCACTTCCAGTTTATGGGGGTACTGGGGGATTGAATCATAGGCTCTGCACATGCTAGGCAAACACTCCACTGAGTTATAACCCTGGCACATTTTCAATCCTATCAGGACTATAACTTTTGAAATGTCTGATTGGCTTTTTTGTTCCTTGTGATCTGCTTTCTCTGGCCCTTCCTGCCGCGGAAGGCCAGCTCTGCTCCCCTCCCCAGGCACCTTTACTCCTTTTCTAGTCTTCTGGGTGGGTGGGTTGCTGCTCTATGAACTGCTAATAAATCATTTAACCAGGTTGAAGTTTTCGTTTTCCATACCTTGTAAGCCACACCTGTGAGACCCCTCAGGAGATGACACGCCCCTGGGCCCCAGCAGCCCCTCCCTAGCCAGCCTTCTTGGGCAGCTGTGGTAGGGCAGGAAGAGTGGCCTGAGGCAGAAAGCACTGAGCACCCTGGGAAAGCACTACTTCCGCCACTTCCTAGCAATACCCACTGTCACTGTTTCTGCATGTGCGCAGTGTGTATACCTTACTGGCCACCCCTGAGATGGTGCTGGCATGGGCTCCTTCGATTCTGTCGCATTCAGCTTTCCCGCCTCACCCTGTTGTAAAGAGGTAGAAGGGACGGTGTCTTTAGTGAGGCAGGGGCATGCAGCTGAAAGTTTTTCTGTGTCCTGCCTGGTCCTGTGGTACTGCAGCTGCTTATAAAATAACCACACAGAGGCTTATGTTAATTAAAACTGCTTGGCCACTAGCTCAAGCTAACTACTGACTAGTTCCTACACTTAAACTAAGTCCATTTCTGTTCATCTGTATGTCTCCATGTGTTCCGTGGCTTTACCTGGGTGCCATTACATGCTGCTCCCTGGACGGCGGGCTGGCATCTCCTGACTCAGCCTTCCTCTTCCCAGAATTCTCCTTGTCTCTTATCCCCACCTAGATGTCCTGCCTGGCTACTGGCCAATCAGCATTGTATTTATCAACCAATCAGAGCAACACACATTCACAGCATACAGAAAGACGCCCACAGCTCTTCCCCTTTTTTTTGGTCTAATCAAAAAGGAAGGTTTTAACTTTAACATAGCGAAATTCCACAGCAGGGTCATGGTACACAGAGTGGGAGAGAAGGAACAAGTAGGAGGGGACACCTGCAGGAGAGTGGGTGGGTTGGGTGTCCATCTTAGGGCCCCCTTGCTTTGGAGGCAATGAGATAGTCTCTAGAGTTGTGAAGGAAGGCTGCCTAAAAGGAAACAGAGCCACTGTGGAGTTTTATTGAGGTAGCGAGGGGAACTGGAAGCTCATCTATGCATTCACCCTTCACCACCACTTGTTGGGGTTCTCAGACCAATGCATCAAATAAACATTTATAGAGCATCCATCCAGTGTGAGTCATCCCCATGAGGTAAGCACTCACAAACTGGGTGGCAGCAATCCCGTATTGATGATGCAAGTGACCATCACTGTTGATGTGCTCCATGTGGAAGAGATTCCAGAAATAAGTAGACATGGCCTACTTTCTGAACTGACTGAGGAACTCCACTGAGTCTCTCCTGAGGCCCTGTGAGCAGTGTGAGAGGCAGAGGCAGAGGCAAAGGCAGACTTGCTGAGGGCTCTAGGTCCTGCAAGCTTCGGTGGCTTCCAGCAGGGCAGAAGGAACTGAGACCGCACAGGACACAGAGCTGCTCATTTAAATAAAAATGCAGACCTTATTTCTTAGCCAAATCTAAACCAACCTGGAATTGAAAGGAATCTCGAAGCACACAACTCTCTTGGTTCCATTTTCTCTTGCATCTAAACTGTATAGCC